TATTCTAGCAAATTTATTTCTGACAGATCAGGAATCAATTTAAACAAACACCTTCTCGAAAATCAGACGATCAACAAGAGAAGGATTTTCGAACAGTATAATTTATTTTCGAAGTGTCAAATTGACGGTTTCTGTTTTCTGTATGGTTTGCAAGATTTTTTATAGATGCATTGATTTAATTCATCCAATAACTTTAAATTTTAACACCCTGGGACTTCGAAAATGTTCCAAGATCTCTGTCTTAGAACAGATATACATTACATGAATTCAGGAACCATTTTCAAAATCCCGAGTCTTTTTTTTTCCCTTGATTTTATTTTCCGTGCTGAGCACAAATGCTACCGTCACCAGGGAGGCAGCACCCACACCTAGAGGGTTGCCAGGAATATTGGAGTTGATACTACACGACGCAGATCATCTGTGTAAATTTGCGTGTACAATCACAATCTTAGTAGTGTGGAAGGTGTGGTAACGACAAATACATCCGAAGTTCTGTGATGGTTTTACAGATCATACGTATACCGTATGCGTGATAATGTTTGCACCATTGAGCAATGTCAAAATTAAAAAAATTCTCAAAAATTTCGTTTTCGAGTTTTTTTTATTTATTCAAAGGGGGGATGTTTCTCAGAGTCTTTAACTATGTTAATCAACGATCGAGTTTCCACTTGCAGCAATTACGGCCTCCACACGCTTCCGGAATGCACGGCAGTTTCTAATAATGTAGTCTGGATCCATTTTTCTCCAGGTACGGGTCAATGTTTGTCTGAGGCTTGCTGAACTCGGGTGGCGTTTGGAACAGGCCTTGGCCTTAATGAGGCGCCATATTGAGTAATCCAGCGGATTAAGATCGGGGCTGGATGGCGGCCACATATCCTTCGCCCAGAACGGAAGATGTTTCTGCAACCATTTCTGAGTGCTGTTTGAGGTGTGGCATGGAGCCCCATCTTGTTAAAATACAACATTTGGCTTCGGACCGTACTGTTCTTTGATCCACGGAAGAACATACTTACTTAAAATCCTGATGTTGACCTCCTTGTTGACCTTGTCGCCTTCTGGAATGAACACCGGGTCCATTTTTTTTTACCATCGGAGGCCACCAATCCAGGAGGCCACCAGCTTGGTCAGATACACGTTCTTGTGCTCGTCGGCCACGTCTTTTACCGGAAGATAACTAATATACCGGTCGGTTCTAGAATTTGATACGGGATCGACGGTAAACATGCTCTCGTCGGTGAACACAGGATTTTTTCGCTTAAGGAAGTTCAAGATTTTCTTGCATCGTTCGACTCGTAGCTCCCGGATGCGGTTGGTGCCCTCGACTTCGCCCCGCAATCGTCCTTTACGATCTTCCGTGCCGTAAAGTCACTGATCCCGTGTTCCTTTGCCATTTTTCTTATTGAACGCACTGGATTCACCCGAATCTTCCTTTTGATAGCAGCGATAACTCTCGGAACCCGAGCTGACCTCGGATAACCTGTGGCCACCTTCGCGGATAGTTGTCCTTTCTTTTCTCGGTCTAAAACCCTTTTGACGGTCCACCGGGACACTCCCACGGCGATTGAAATGTCTTTTTGCGACATTTGCGCGTGGGACAAATCACGAACGCTGCCACTTCGTCATGGTGCAACTGTCAAACTAAGTAAATCATTTTCTTTTATACACAGCCTACTACGGTATGAGCTATAGGTTACGTGCATGCAAAGAAAACCAAGGCATTGTATGCACAGGTGAAACAAGAACCTTATTTGTACGATGGTGCAAACATTATCACGCATACGGTACAGCCAAAGAAGAATACTAAGATGAATGAAACTGTCGGAAGAAAAACTTTCAATTTTAGTGTCCTCTTTCACGGTCCCTTTCATCCAATGAATACCACCCGTATTCAAGGTAATTTTGTGGTTTTGCTGCCCCCTCGGTAGAGATGAAATTTTGCGCTCATTTTGATTAAAACAATCACACCAAAATCAGAAATGTCCCATCTTTTAATTAATCGATTAACAACTAATCGATTTTTTTTGTTCGCTGTGCTGCCATTTTTCCACCAATGAGAATGCAGCACATCTTTGAAACGATCGGTGATGATCCTCTGGAGATGTTAATACCCCGTTCACATTACAGCCTATATCACGTTATATAGGCTGTCTTGCAATGAGCACTCGTACATAGGATTTCCAGTGAAAACTAGATGTATAAGTGCTCATTGCAAGACAGCGTATATCACGTGATATACGCTGTAATGTAAACGGGGTATAATGCTTATATCGGCATGATATAACCGATTACAAATATTTTACTTTCCGGTTCGTTAATCTATTTATCGATAATTCGAATGAAAATCGGCCACCACTAGATGAATGTGAAACGTCATTTCAAATATTAGGACCATACATAAATAATGATACAATTTGAAAGGGACCGGGGCTAATAACAAATTACGTCCCCACGGTAACTGAAATAAACACGAGTGTTCACCGGTTGGTACAGCCATTCCATTGCAAAACGATATAGTAGTTCTCAGAATTTCGTAAAAAATTGTAGTTTTGTTTCTTATTGCAAAAAATTAGACCCGTATTATTTTATGTTGTCATTAGGGTGACCATTTCCGTGTTAGGGTGGTCCAAAAAAAAACAAAATCCAAAAAATGCATATTTTCAAAAATTAATAACTTTTGAACCACTGATTGATTTCTGATTGATTGGTATGATTGATTTAAGATTGATTTCAAGGATCAAAATGTCATCGTGACCATGTAAAAGTCGCTAATGGAGACGCATGGTAGTCTAGTCGCATAGGAGTACTGAGCGAAAACCCTAAACTTGATAACTTTAAAAATAAAATGTAACTCAAAATCGAAAAAAAACACATGGCTGATTTTTTGTATTTGTTTAAACAACCTACATTTTCAACGAAAAATATAAAAATATATTGCGCGCTCTGTATACAAACCATGTAAACCATAAACAATAAATGCAATCCACGTTTTCAATACCTTTTTTTTAAATCCTTTTGCTTTTCTCAAAAGTATTTTCAATTACCTTACATTTGATATTTTGATTTTGAAATCGGTCCAGTGGTTCAAAAATTATGAATTTAAAAATAAAGTCATTTTTGAAAAAAATCTCTTGTGTGGGTCACCCTATTCACAAAATATACAAATACGGGTTTAAAATTTTGCGATAGGGAACAAATCTACACATTTTTACGAAATTCTGAGAACCACTATATCGTTTTGCTATGGAATGGCTGTATAATGGGGTCCATACGAGTCAGATTTTCCGTTTTGGAGAGTTTTCTTAGACCGGAATCATAATTATTTTGAAAACATGACATCTTAGCAACTATTCGAAGTTTTAGAACTTTTAATGCTTTTTACCAAGTTCTGTATCTTTAATTTCTGTGAACCAAATTATCATTTTCTGAATTATCTATGCAGATTATTTCTGGATTTCCACAAGATTACTCTTCATAAAGTTTGAGTCATTTAATATCTGGACACACTGTTTATTTTACTGCAGTGCTCCTAGCGGTCGGATCGGCAATGCTTTGACAGCAGTTTGTTTTGAAATGTTTCCTCTTTTAATGCTGAAAAGTTCGTTGATGGAAGCCGATAGCCGAAAATTAATTTTGGAAACCCACTTGGAAAATCCGACGTGGTCAGGTTAAAAAATCGCGAAGTCGTTTTTTTTCGTTCACAAATTAAATGACTCAAGATTTATGATATTATTGGAACTTTCTAAAGAATTTACTTTGATTTTGAAACATTTCTCTGGCATTCCCTTGATTTTTTTTTACTATAACAGTCTTCTCTGCATACCACTTTTGGAATTTCCTCTAAGAAAATCTTAGGATTCACACTAAAATTCTCTTAATATTTAAAATAATTCTCGCGAAAACTCCTTTAAGTTATTCTCCACAGTTCTCTCTAGATACTGTTTGAAAATATATAATTTTCCAAATTTAAGTTCCTAACAATTTCCTTGGGATTCATTGCAGAATTGACTTGTTAATCTAAACAGAACTGTTAAGAAAGATTCACAGTTTTTTCAATAAATTCCCTTAGTTTACCATTCTTTAAAAAATCCTCTATGAATTCCTTTAATTTCAGTTAAGAGTTTCTTTTAAATTTGTCAAACATTCTCAGTGCAATTTCCTGTCAATTCTCTTTTTATTTTTTGAAAACAACGTATTTTGATCTCACAACATCAGGCTGCATTTTAAATGATCATAAGTTATCCGAAATAATAATCTATGGCCCAAGTAACAATAGAGGTTTTACTATGCTCTTGTAGACCATGATTTAGGCTTGGATAATTTAAAACCTAAATATTTAAAACTTGTGATGTATTCTACCATATTAAGCAGATTCTATAAAACCGGGAAAGCTATGCTAATTAACCGGGAATTTAAATTCTTAAATCCCGTGGCCACCCTGATATTATAAAAAATTCAATGGGTTAAAAAGTAATACGTTTCATCTGAATACGACGATATTTAAAAAAATCTTGTATATGCTATTTAAGTTCACCCTTAATTGAAATAAAACATATTTTTACAGCAATTAAACCACCTCTTGGTTCCTAAAATAAACATACATTGAAAATTGCTTTCATGTAGTTGCCATTGAAAACCAGTCACATTCCTGTTAACCATAAGTCACTTTTTAGTCACTATTTTAATACTATTCGGTCAATAAGCCAATATTTTTAATCTTTTCCAGCCCTGGATCTGTGGAATATAACATCAGTTTTGATTTGTTTGAATTCTATCGAAGTATGCTGCAGAGAAACATGCACAGAGTTTGATTTTATGATCTGACTAACTGACTGGATGTTAAGATAAGTGCCTCTGAAAATACGATGTGCATGGATTCCACCAATCTAGTCCTAACACAACTCTTAACATGTTTAGGGTAGGTGATTTTGTTTGTACAAAATAGGCAATTCTTAAAAATGGAATTATTTTTCACCAATCATATTTGGTTTTAAACTACTCACCGGAAGATGACGTCATGCTGTGGTGTGGGCTCATAAAGGAGCTCAGTTTGGCCCCATGGTGGTACGGCGACATGAATAGGTCGCTTTGATACTTGTAGGTCGGGTCGGTTTGTGGCTGCGTAGCCGCGGCTAGCCCCTGGAAGTCGAATTTGTATGCGTAACGCTTGCCGTGCACCTTGGTCATGATGTTCTTATCGTAGTAATATCTGTGAAGGAATAAAGAATAAATGGCAAGGGGATATAAGAAAAGTGTCTCAATCAGGCACAATCGCACGTGGGTTGGTTGGTTGTTCGGACGGTGTGTGTCTACGAGTGTCCTGATTTTCCAACCGTGATAAGCTACACGACATCGAGCTAATTTTCTTCGTTTTGAATGGCGATTGTAACGAACCACAGGCACGCTCTTTTGCTACGGTTGCTCGAGGGTGGTTCCCAACTCAGTGACTTTTAAAAGAACACGGCCTAGGTGGTAGTGGTACCCTATTGTTGCATAAATTTGGTTGTTGTGGTCCTGTCAACCAATCGTCACAAGATCCACGTGCTTGATGGAAACGGAGGAAAGCCTGTTTGCCTGCTAGAAGGGAAAGGCGTTCTGAATAAGTACAACCGAAAGAACATGGCAGTATGGATGTGGCGATGAAAAAGCCGACGGTCCTACATTCAGTGGCCGTGAAGCGAACAACTTTTCCAATATTCTGTTTTGTTGCCATCGTCTGGTTCATTGTCACTGGTGACGTTATGTGACATCTTGACAGGCGTTGCATGCTTCAAGGGATGAAAGAACATTCAGTCAACCTCACTATGTATCTGATTGTGAGGTTTGATTTGGTGGTTAAAGACCGTTAAAGAATGTAGTCCTACTGAGTGTTCAACAAATCGATTCCATGTTTCGTAGGAAATTTTTCTTTTTCCAACCAACAAGTACATCACCTTTAAATCCGAAATTTGGCAAATGGAGCTATGAGCGGGCAGCACTCAGTAACACACATAATGCGAGCATTTATCCACTTGAGGAACGTAAATATCACAAATCGTTGTCAATCCGAATCATGACGCCTTCTAACAAACGAGAACGGAGACGGGGACAATTTTCGCGTTTCTATCCAACACACATTTGCATCCATTCATGGATGGCTGCCAATGACATATCGCACCATGCTGCTGGTTGAATGGTATAGGGCTGGTTGCCCATTAAAATGTATGCGAATGTGGAGTGATAGCTCTCCTGTCGCTTGTTGGTATTCGCATACTGGCAATTATCCTGTTCTGTCTGTAAGTATTTTTTGCGAGTTGGTTGAATTCATTTATAAAATTTGCTTCTGTGCGATTGAGTTCTGTATGGTTTTGGACATTGAATGCTGAGTGATGAATATTTAGGAATATTTTATTGTTGTTGATTGTTGTTTTTTTTAGTTGGGGTCTGCGATAGTTACAACATGCTTACATAAACTCTTTCAGAAACCATGTATATAGAAGAGCAGTTATTTTTAATGTTATGTTGGAATTTCTCACCTGTTCTCAACTTAGGGCTCTTTGAGCACTTCCCTGTTGTTTATTATGAGATTTCAAAGTCTACACAAATTTTGAATTCGTATATTGTTATTCAAACACAATTAACCACTTCATTGGAGCAGTTCAAAATGTCGTTTTCTATCACTCAAACTTGGAAATAGAACAATATTTTGATATTTTTTCTCTTCTAGAACCATCTAAAATTTGTGACTCATAAAAAAATAGTAATTTGCTGGTCCAGTTTTGTGAAATCACAGGTAGAACATCAATCCAAAACTGCTTGAGAAATTTCCTCTGAGCGTTTGCAAAGCAACTTTGTACATGCAGAGTGTGTGATTCCTCCATTTGCTTTGTACAGTTTTTTCCAACTTATCTTTGAGAAAGCGATCCACACAATGATTGGTACAGTCGTTGCGGCGCAGGGAGCGAATAAAATACAACAACCAGCTATCGTACACGTAGGCAAAAGAACGCAAGAATTCCATATTAAACACTTATGAATTGAAGCCATAAGAAATGAGTGTGAAATTCATTGATTTGCCTTATCAAAAATAATGTTGACAAAAAAATAATAAGTCGGAGCAGAGTGGAACCAGAAAATGAACGTTGAGGTTAGGCGGCCCGTGTGTTGACCACTCGGCTTTCAACGTTTGGGAAAATTAAATTATTGAAGGCGTATATGAGCTATACCTCATGTTACCCGAAAATCATTCATAAGTCACGCTTATGAAATTCAAATATGTTGTTCATAAGTCGATCCTTATGAAATTCTTATGTCTATTTGCCTCAGTGTATTCTTTGAGTTCTTTGCCGTCTTTGCTTACCAGGATAGTGTGTCCACACCTAAACAAAATCCACTCAGAAGTACACATGAAATTTATGAGTCAAATGAGTCCCAAAATGACAATTCATGTAGCAATAAAATAAAAGAATGAGGATGCACTAAAACGCTACTTAAAGGAATGAAAAGGAAAACCAAGTAAAATTATTTTTTTTGTGAGGAGAGAGGGACATGTGTGACATATATTAGCGCTAGTGTAAGCAGGTCTTAATAAACGGCGGTCTCCATGGCAACGCTTCATAAACACATACGGGCAACTCTCCACTCACTTTCGGACCAGCTCTTCACAAGGTAAGTAAGATGAAGAAGTACATAACAAAGAAGAATGTTGTATTTTTGCTGGATTTCTCATTTACATTCCTACACTTTGAGGCGCTCTTTGCGTCGGAGCCGTCGGAGCGATGGCTACACATTGAGTTTTTGTTATTTTTGGGACACATCTTCTCTTCTCTGGTGTTTTGCAATTACGCAGAGTGAAAGGCTAACAAACTTGTTGTCTGCTAGATTCTAACTTTGTGAATTTCAGAAAATCGGTGCATTGCACGCATTGAGTGATCAGATGACAGCCTTGCTGCCAAGGGAAGTCGATACATTTTCCTATCCTTAAAAATCCATGGTGGTCTGGTCCTTGTATAAAGGACATTGGTCTAATAGAACATCGTATACAATACCATGTATCATCATAGGTCTATTTTTTTATTAATTACTTTATTTGTACAGGCTCAATCCAATAAACTTTACAGAGCCGAGTTATAATTTAATTATAAATTAATGATGTCTTATATTTAAAGTTAAAGGAGCTGGACCGGATACTCGCGGTATCATAGGTATATAACATTCATACAAATTCAATAAAATAAACATTTTATTTAAGTACTAAGAAATAAATTTCTTTTATCTTATTGATAGACAAATCTTCCAAAATAGTGGTGGATTATTGGAAAAATCTTTGCATTAAAAATGGAGAATTTCTTTCATTAATTTTGGAACGTTGATCCTGCCAACGAACGGAAAATCCTTGAATACTAATTTCAAGGTGTCATATGCATACTGCATCATATGTATTTGTTTATTATGATCAAATCTGTACGATATCTACAAGCTATGGTGTGTTCAACATACAATTTGTACTCTGCACAATGCAGAATAGTTCAGAAACCATATTTAGGTGGAATAAATTGTTCGTGCCTAAACTATCAGTTTTATAAAGGAACCACCTCAATGTCTTGATCATCAAAAGATTGACTACATGAATAATTTTTTTTTCCGAAAAGAATATTTATTTGAACTAATGGTTTGAGCACAAACAATTTAGTCCACCTAAATACGGCTTCTGGATCACTGTACAGTGGTTTCAAAGTCTTCAGAGGAAACAGTAGATTATACCTAAACCATTTGTTTTTAGGAAAATAGTGTGTTCCGGAATGTCAATTTGTTTTAGTCAATATTTTTATGCGAGTGAAATTTGGATAATTCCTATGGTTAAGGAGTTTAAAATGTCAATTTTTTTTAGTTATTTGAGATATTCAATGTTCAACAAAGTTGTATAACAACTTTGCTCTTGGCTCCAATATACTATCTCTAATGTTTCATTAAATCATGAACTGGTTTGAAAATAGTTTCTTAGAGTCCTAAAAATCGATTTTATTAAATCGCAAATCGCACGGTATGCTGAATATGTTTGCATATGTTTTATGAATATTAAAAATAATACAAAAGTTAAATATAAACGATTAAATTCACATAAATCACAAACATATTCTTTATTTATCCATTAGTTTTAGATGAACAGGTTAGTGTCTTCAGGGATTTTTTTTCCATGTATTTTAGCCAATCTTTTTGTGTGAGTGAAATTACCATGATCCCTATGATTGGGGAGTTCTAAAGTCCATTCAAGTAAACGCAATCATCCTGTGACGATTCGGTCTTATGTCCCTTCAATCTTGCTTTTTAGTGATATGCATCTTTTAGTTTTGACCTGCTGTTATTTGGACCTTATGCTATTCGAGTTATACGCTGTAAATTATCGGGCATACATTGAACTAACTTTTTAATTACTTCTAAAACGAAAATTGTTTTATGAAAATTATGATGAACAATATTTTGTTTAGGACTGTCCATGAACTAAGCTGATATTTTTAAAGAAAGTTCAGAAACCCCCTTTCACCGCATCGAACATTTTATTATGTACTGTAGACACTAGCCATCCCTCCTGACATATCTTCTACGTTTCATTTTAAGGTAAGATTATTTCCTGAAATTACATTTCACCTGTTTCGCTTCATATTAATCATATATAATCGATCTGGCTGCATATTAACAATCGTATCGTTGGTTAAGAGCACGTAACCTAATACTATTTCTATTTGTAGATAAGTGCAACATCTCAAGCATTGATCGAGCATTAAATTGATATAATATCAATACACGAATGACGACGCGTCATGATCGAAAATGCATTCTTAAATTCGCTGTAGATATTTATACACACAGTTGGAGAGAGTCTTCTATGACGAGACAGCACACTGCCATTTTCCAAACATTCACTGATAGGAATTTCATCGCATTCACTCGTCCTTCATCGGTAGAGGGACTATTTTTGGTAGTTCTCCTCATGGCTGTCGAGTACCAAGGTGAGTTATCCACCGCCAATCGACGGCCATCGGAATAGAATTGCTTTGCCGACTGTTATCGGGCGATGAAGAGAGCGATATTTTTACCTTCTATCGAATGTTTCGCATGCACGTCACGTGTGCTGTCTTTTGCGCCATTTGACGCGGATTTTTCGCTTTTTGTTTCGATCCGATCGGTTGGAATTGGTCAGAGTGTAAAGCCATGTTTTTAGAGCGTTGG